AACMCGCTCTCTACCTTTCTCTCTGCCAACTCCAACATAAATCTTTATTTCTCTGTGGGAAATCTGATAGATCCTATTCTTCATTTGTTGATTTATGTCCTGAGAATATGATAGTTCATTTTCAAGTCACTGTAGAAAAGCCTAGTGGATAGGGGAAAGCAAACAAAAAGTATATCTTTCTTAGCCCTAGTAGAATAGATTGAGAGAGCCAGTTTAGCAGCCCACAGTGTCCTTCAAAGGAAATATTTCTTTCCTAGGTCTCTAATAATACAGGAAAAGACTACCCTACTTGGGCCATATGGCCATTCCCAAATCAAACAGTGGTTCTGGAAGTCAATCAGGGTGATTGTGGTAAAATGATGGCTATGGCTTCTTTTATGTACTACATTCCTTTACAGAACATTAAGGAGGGTCAGGAACAGTCCCCTCAAGGAACAAGTATAGACTAACAAAACAATATGTCTATAAAGATGCCTTTCATTTGGATTTCTCCAGATACCACAACCCCCAGGGAATTCCTGGCCAAGGGTCATAGCCAGACCTGAATTGTGGCTCTCTGAACCTCTTGTCTCATTCCTTTGTCTTCAAAAGAACTTTTGTTAAGACCAAAATACAAGCCTTCTATTAATAGTTTTTTTTTTTCCTCACTGACTTCTTTATATATGTGATTATTTTGTAAAACTTTAAAAAACTCTCTCAATATTTTGCCAAGCCAGGTTCTCAGCATTTCCTTTAGGGGTGTCATCAGACACCCAGGACCCACCTCTATGGGTCAAGCATGGGAGAAGAGTTAATAATTTAAATGGACTACTGGGTGGTAACTATATGCAGGTAGATGGCTGGATGGCAAGGCGTCATTTGGGATGTGGCCTTTGGAACTATACTTGTCTCCTTGCTTTCTCTTTCTCTGCTTCCTGGCTGCTATGAGCCTAGCAGCTTTCTTCTACCATGCCCTTCCACCATGATGTTTCTGCCTTGGATCCTGTTGACCATAGACCCAACCTCTGAAACCATGAACCAAAATAAACTTTTCTTCCTCTAAGTTGTTCTTGTTACAGTTGTTTTGGTGACAGTAACAAAAAGCTGATTAACACAAAGAACAATCTCTTTTTGGTAGGATTTCCAAATACCTGATTGATTATTAGATTAATAAAAAATAATGTGAGGAAGATCTGTATGGAATTTGGAGGTGGAGACTTCTCTAGTATAGAACTGCAAGCCAGAGAGTGACACCATATGGACTCTCCTGTTCCCATGGCAGTTGTGTTTACCTCACTGTTAAGACTTTCAGCTTGACTTCATCCTAGCTACCACTGAAACTCCTCTTCCTGTCCTTTAATGCAGAGTTTCCCATCCCATTGACTCTTTTTTTAAAACATTTTTATACATTTATTTATTCATTTTTATTGGTGCTGAGTATTTTAAACCCAGTATCTTAAATGTGCCTGGCAAGTGCTATACCATTGAGCCACAACCACAGCCCCCCCACCATTGACTCTTCATACTGTTCTGAATAAATACCTTTCCCACTGACTTAGAAAAAGCTACTCATTGCCCTCCCCTGTAGATACTTCTGAGAGCAGAATGGGACACTGTTAATTATACTGAGACTACAGGTATTAACAGGCCACCTCTGCACACTGAGTGATCACTGTAAACATGTGGTCACTGACCCAGTTAGCTTTTGCACACAAGTGGAACCAAGACACCTCTCTCCAGCTAAGCATCTGGTCTGGAAGTTGGAATGTCAGGTCCCTTGCCTGGTGCAACCAGAAGTCAAGAGAGGCCATAAAACTTGAGTTGCTAGTCTTACTGTCTTACCCTCATGCCTCAGTTTATGTCTCAGAGATCACTTAGTTCCCATCTAGAAATGCCTCCTCTAGTTTCCATTCTTCTGAGAATGAATTGAAACTTCCCAAACCTACTTTCATCACTTTTTCAGGCTGCCTATGGGGGGATGAGATGTAGACTCTTTGATGTCCAGGTCAAGGGAAGCTGTCTTCAGCCCCAGACACACTTGCCTTACCAAGCCTGGGTGTGCTCTTCCTTGAAGCCAAGATGAAATCAGAGGAACCAGACTCAAACTGATCACCTTTCAGTTCCCATGGGACACTGTTCACATATAATCCAGAAATATTGTTCATTACTTCTTTATGAAATTTTAAAATTATGCAGCTTTTTTTAAAAATTAAAGGAACATGATAAATACTTTTGGTTTTTTGAAGGAAATATTACAGATATTGAGCTTAGGCCACAAAAAATTAGATGGAAGTAACATAAAATACTTACAATAAGATCCTACTGGTTTATTTTTTTTTCTTATAGGGATTATTTTTATTATAATAATCATAATAACAGGGCATCTTATTGGATTCAAATGTATTTTGTAATCTAGGTCTGAAATCCTAAAAACATTGAAGACTAGAGAAGATTTTTTTGAATTTTTCACAAGCTTATTTAATAGCAAAAACTATTTGATCTGGTTTGAAGCTTATGGTYTACCTTACTCAGTATAGCTGTTCATATTTTACTGCAGAAATATTATTATTTGATTATTTCTGCAAACTCCAGAGGAGGACATTATATATGATGTATATACCATGTTACCTATCCACACTCTCAGACCCAAAAGGTTTCTGAAAAGGACTTTTGGCTCTGAAGAATTACTCAGCCTGCCAATTAATAGTCCCCGCACATTAAGTAAACACAAACCTCAAACAAGTCTGCCTCTACTTTCTTACTGCTGCCTATATCATCCATAGTTTGAAGACTATCAGAATTAGCTTTTAGTTCAGTATTGAACACCTTAAGCCTTTGGAAAGAAGAAACAACATTGATTGATAATGATTGGTAAGTAAATAAAAATAGTAAGTTAAAAAATTGAGCCCAGATTCCCCATTCTCTATTGATACACTACAGAAAGAGGAGAACATATCTTTTGTCATCATACAAAGAAATAGAGTTATTACATGTGCAGTCCATTTTCACTTAGTGGCTGAATATTTAAGAACTATACTCATTCCCTCATTCCCTCTTTGAGCATGTCAGAATCCTCCAATTTCACACATTTTTCTGATTGGAAAAAAAAAAAAAACACTTAAGACTACTAGTTTTCCTTATATATTTTCCACTACTTTAGAGAAAGGCTTTTTTGTTTCTTTCTCAAGGAACATCTTGTTCCTCAAGACCAAAGGGGGAGGGAGTATTATTAAATATTTGGTTCTTTACTCTCTGACTTAACTGTGTGGAAGCCAGGCTCTAAGAAAGTCCTCATTGATTTCTCCCTTTCCAGTATCACACCCTTTGTAGGTTCCTTTTCATATAGAATAGGTTTGGCCTGGGTAACTATTCGGATTTTGCAGAAGTGACAAAGTATGACATAAAATTGGGTCATAAAAGACATTGTGGTTTCTGCCTGGCCCTCTCTTAGAACATACACTTTTTGGAAGTTTGCACTTGTGTAATGAGAACACTTGAATAGCACTATTAGAAGATCCCATGTGACAAGGAACTAAGGCCACCAGTCAACTACTAGCACTAAATTGCCAGACAACAACCAAGCCATTTTGGAAGTGTATTCTCCAGCCCCAGTCAAGCACTCATATGTTTGTAATCCCAGAGAACAACTTGATTTCAAGTTCATGAGATATTCCAAGCCCAAGTTACTCAGCCAAACCATTCCTGGATTCCTAAACCACAGAAAGAGGGGGGTGGGTTGTTGTTTTAAGTTGCAAAGTTTTGGGACAATATGTTAGTCAATAATAGATAACCAAACACCTGGAACTTTGATACAAGGAAAATGTGTTGATTTCTCTATGAAAATAATAATACATTCTTATGAATTTCAAACATATATATAGATATATGATCCAGCAAATGAAAATATCCTGTAATATCATCTTCTTCATAATTTATGGCACATAGTTCCAGATTTTCTTCATGCAAATGCTAATATATATGTGTATGCCTGTGTATACAAATACATGTGTATAAAAGTATGCATGAATGTTTTGTTAAGACAGTGGATCACAGTGAACATACTTTCCTACAACTTGTACTATTCACTTACTGTGATAATGTCCACATAAGTACATGTAGATCTATATCATTTATTAATATATTTTCATATTTTATTGTACTGACTTCTCCATTCCCTATTGGAGAATATTTGGTCTGTTTTAAATTTCCACAAATATAAATAATGAGATAGTGAATGGACATATGTGGGCTCTATTTCTGGAAGCAGAAATGCTGGATCAAAAATAAACAGATTTAGGGGCTGGGATTGTGGCTCAATGATAGAGTGCTTGCCTAGCACGTGTGAGGCACTAGTTCGATCCTCAGCACCACATAAATAAATAAATAAATAAAKAAAKAAAGATATTGTGCCCATCTACAACTAAAAAAAAAATTAAAAAAAAGAAAAGTAAACACATTTAAAATTCTGACAAGTTCTTCCAGAATGACCTCCCAAAAGTCGTACCAATATATCTGATCAGGAAATGGAAATGTCTGTTTCCCTACACCCTCATTGATACTGAGTATCCACAATCATTGTCGAATGAAAAATTGTTTTCCTTTTGTACTTGGTGCCAATTTTTCATATATTTCTTATACATTTGTATTTCTTCTGTTTGAAATTATCTGTCAATCTTTTTTGTACATCTTGATATAACGCTTTCTTATATATCAATTTATAAGACCTCTTTGTATATCAGCATGTTAAACTCTTGGCCCATAATATATAATGTATAGAAAATCTCTCCATATTTACTGTTGAAACTGACACATATTTTTTTCAATTACATTTAATAACTTTTCTGTCAAAACCCAGTTAGGTGAGTGCTAGTTAAAGCGCAAAATAGGCTTTGTAACTCTAATTTAAAAGTGATTAGAATGGAAATAAATAAGAAAACATTTCCTGTTTCTGCAAATGTTGCTTATGTTTATCTTTGGTATCAGTAACTCAATTGGTTTTGATTTCTACTGTTTTATTCTAGTATCCCCAATACTACATTCACCAAATTCCAAGGAGCCGGGAGGTTCAGCAGTCCTGGTTCTCCACAGTGTTCACCACCTTGCACTCCATGTGGGTCTCCTTTCCTCTGATTCTCCAAGTAAAGCCAGACTTGGTAAGCAAAACCATCACGAAGGAGAGGGAAGGTGTCTCTCCTATGGATCTTTCATTTAGATTTATTATTTTCTTAAACAGCTAACATTTATCAGTGTGCCAGGTAGTATACTGGACTTTTTACTAATAAGTGCTAAAAATCATCACTTAAATGTACTTTGCTGAAAGAGGTAACAATTTTTTTACCTTCCTTTTCTCCCTATGACTTCAACTCAAAAGTTGCCCTTTTGTCCTCCTTGTCTTTTGTCATAAACACTAATACAGCAAGCAGTATCTTTAACCAGTTTATGTGCCAGTTCATCTGTGTTTCCTAACCGGCTTCATGTGCTGGTCAGCAGTAGTCTTTTTGTTTTTAACAAGACTCTATAGCCAGATATGGATTTAGTGGGCAGAATGTCATACATGTTCAGGTGTTCATAAGAAAGCAGTACAGAAAATCAGCAAAAAATTGATTAGTATTCACTGTATTCAACCTTCCTTTCCTTACCTCTAAAAGTCTTAAGTTCTCTTGTGGTTTTAAAGATGAAGTTCTATTATTAAATTACAAATGTACTTCAGTAGACAATGTATATCAGTGTATTTATTATCACAGTTCTTAAATAATGCCCTCAATTCTGTTGAAGGCAGAATCCATTAACTGGCAAAGCCTGAAAGGAAACTCTTACTTACTTCCCAGATATATGAGTTCTGGAAAGGTGTGTATTATTCTCATGAATAGTTGAACAGAAATGCATTTAGCTACAATGATTTTGAAAGATAACTATTAGTTTTGTCATTGCCTTTCATCAGTTAGATTACTGCAGGATCCCTCTTTTGGATAAGAATTTTAAAAATCTGAGTTTTCTACATGTGATTGTTTTTAAAATATATTATTTACATATAGTAAAATGCACAGCTTGACCATATCCCTAGCAAAATATAGAACATTTCCATCCCCTAAAATGTTTTTTCTTGCCCCTTCCCAGTCAGGCCCTGTTCTCAAGCAACCATTGTTCTGATCTCTATCACCATAGAATAATTTTACATATATTTCCTTTTAAATTTTTGTCAGGTTTATCTCATAGTCTGCAACCGCATTTTTAACATGTGAAATTCAGATGTTCTCCTTAAAGATTACTACTGTTCCAAAAGGATTAGTTAATTTATTTCTAAAACTCAAGAGACATATATACGGATAACAATGGTCTTTACATTAAAACTGACGATTGCTATCATATACTATTACTGATACTTACATCACTAGAGAAGCATGGCCATTTTCATGGGCAATAGCTAGCTTGAGTGCAGTGACATTGATAGAAATGGTGACAAGATGATGTCTCTGGTGAATGCAAAGGAGCTCTGTCTATCTTAAATTTTTGGTATACTTGTAGTGGAACATTTTGTGGGGCATGAAACGTTTGCCTCCAGGACCACTTTGACTTTCCCTATCCTGGGGATTGAACTCAGGGCCTTACACATGCTAGGCAAGGGCTCTGCCACTGATCTTCATCCCCAGCCCTCACTTTGGCTTTCATTTTATTTTAGTCAGTTCCCTTCTGGATCTCATTCTTCACCTTAAAATGAAGAAATTGGACTAGATATTCTCTAAATTTTCTTCTAACTTCATCTAAATTTTTATGAGCGCCATAAATTTGCTTGTAAAAAGTAGAAGAAAATATTATGTTTCTGAGAAATTGGAGAAGGGGAGTAAATGTTAAGTATTTATTTTCATTTTGAAGTAACTTAATTAAAAACATTATATCAAATCTGAACATTATCCAGTCAATTCTTTTCTTTTGGATGGCTTCACCAGATGAGTTCTCACTTAATGAAATCCCTTTTCTAGAGAAGAAAGTTAATGATTAAGAGGTCTCTTTTTACTACACTGAAAGAACTATAGCATGTAGATCTCTCCTATGCTCATCTGTAATGGACTGAATATACATGTCTCYACCAAATGCATATGTTGAAACCCTAACCCTCAAGATGATAATATTATGGGCTGGAGATGTGGCTCAGCGGTAGCGCGCTCGCCTGGCATGCGTGCGGCCCGGGTTCGATCCTCAGCACCACATACCAACAAAGATGTTGTGTCCGCCGAGAACTAAAAAATAAATATTAAAAAAATTCTCTCTCTCTC